CCAATTGCAAGAACTGTGACTCGATGTGAGCCAGCGCAGCGCGCTGACCAGCATTGCTAGCTGATGACGGCTGCTCCGACTTCGCAAACCCGTAGGCTGAGTTGAGGGAGTCGATGCAGCTGTTCGCCCAATCGATCGTCTTGGAACTCCTCTGGCGCCGCCTGCCAACGACGCGGCTGCACCCAGGCCCGGATCCCCCTGCACCGCAGCGGAGCGTCAGCGGCGGCAGCGGGAACAGGTCACGCTGCCGAGGATCAGGGAGAGGCCCAGCCGAAGAGGAGTCGCATGCATCGCCAGGAAAAGCAGCGCCGGGGTGGCGAAGTCCGGGCGGGGGCCTGAAGTAGCCGGCGGGGGTGGCCCTGTCCTCGCCGCCGGCTGCCTGCCTAACCATCATCGCCGCCGCCGTCTTTGCCACCCTTGGCCTTCGCTTTGGCCTTCGTGGCAGTCTGGGCGGCGGCGCGCTCCTCACGGGCCTTCCTCCTCTCCTTCAGGATCGCGTGCTCCTGAGCCAGTTCCTGGCTGACCCAAGCCTGCAAGGCTGGGCACACACAGCAGTTGCCGCGCACCAGCTCAGTCCCCAGGTACAGGTGCTGATCCATGCGCACGGGGTCGGCAGCGCCTGCAGTCCTCTCACGATACTTCTCTTCGATGATCTGCAAACTCCTGCCGAGAAGCTCGAAGCTGGCCATCTCGGTCACATTCAGTTGGTCGAAGCACACGGCGTTCTCGAGGGCGGTGCAGATTCGCAGGTGTTCCTCCACACCACCCTCGTTTGTCAGCCTGCAGTCGGTCTTCCACCGATGGTGGCGAGCGATGGGACTGCCGCCGTTGCCTGCTAGAAAGTGACAGACCCACTTCAACGTACGAGGGCCTCTGACGGGCCAGTCGGCCCAGGGCGTCTCCGTCAGCATGGGCAGCGCCTCCGCGAAGGGACGATGTCGCCTCGCCATGGTGTCGAGCACGATGGGGTGCACCCTCAGGTCGGAGACCATGACAGCCCCACCCCCAGCTGGCTGCGGCGCGGGCGGCGCCACTGGGCCAGCCGCCAGGCCGGCCACCAGGGCGCCCGCCACGGGGGCGATCGGGGCGAGCGGCGCCGCAGGGGCGGCCCCCACCAGGGCGCCACCAGGGCCAGCACCCGGCGCCACGGCGCCACCAGCAGGCCCAAGCACCGCGGCGAGTGCCCCGAGCCCGCCGCCGACGCCAGCATCCGCGGGCACAGGCGCGAGGGCCCCAAGGGCCCCAACAGCGGCGGCGCCTCCAGCCACGGCGGCCGCGCCGGCGGCAGCGTGAGCCACACCCGGCATGCCGATCCCAGCAGGCGGTGCGCCAGCACGGCCGACCGTGTTTGGCGCCAGTGGTAGCCCCGGCGCGGCGGCGCCAGCCCGCTGAGCAGCTCGGTCACGCGCCTGCCCCAGCTCCGCGGCCAGCGGGATGGCGCGGAAGCGGTAGAGGCGAGCACCAGCACCTCCCGCCCCAGCCGGCGGCGCTCCTCCTTGAGCACCGCCTGGCAAGAAGCACCACTCTGCGGCGTCGCGGCCTGCCCCGAGGTCCTCCTCGTAGCTGTCCCCGTCCGGCGTGTAGCAAGCGCAGACCGCACCAGCCAGCTGAGGAAGGTATGCGCACAGCCGTTCGTGCCAGAGAGGCGGTCCCGGCACCTGAAAACGAACCAGGTAGAAGTCACCCTCTGCGAGGCCTGCAATCTCTAGGCCGTTCACCGCCATGAGGACGACCTTAATGCAAGTGACGAGCTCTCACCTGTCGCAATTGCTCCTGAGCCTCTCGCTGTAGATCCAGCCCCTGGGCAGCGTCCTCGGGCGCCCTCATCGCCGCCCGCGCGCTCGACACGGCACCAGCACGGTCACTCGGTGTGCTCGCCGAGCGGTCTGGGCGCCAGGCGCCGGGCAGCTGGGCGAACACGAAGCCCGCGGCCACGCACAGGGGCAGCACGATCCACCCGTACGAGTAGTGCGGCCCGCAGTGCACGGTGGGGCACGCCGGGCAGGTGAAGGCGCAGCTGCAGGTCGGGCACTGGCAAGCGCAGTCTGGACACCCCTGCCCTGCCGCGCGCAGGGCCGCGCCTATCCCCAGCCCTCGGACTATCTCGAAGACCCCCTGTTCCAGGAGGTTCATGGAAAGGCGTGGGCTTTCGCTTGAGCCGAACGTTGCGGTTCGGCGTCCCTCCTCTCTTCTTCTTGCTTAAACATGGGGAAATAACATAGGTGTGCACATACATCTCTATACACATATATATATATATATATATATATATATAGCTATATCTATGTCTTTACCCCAGCGGTATGGCCATACAGCGCCCGCCGCCGAACATGAACCATAAGATTGCCGAGCGCGAGCACGTCGCAACTGTTGGGGGCGACGTGCGCGTGGCCGACCCCAGGAATTCTGAGCCCACAAAGGTTGCCATCTCTTGGGAGCGCATCTTTCTCTTCCGCCGGCTTCTGCTGGCCTTTCCGCAGGCAAAGCCTCCCCCATTATACCGGGGATCTACCGACCCGGGTCAATCCAGACCCAGGCCCGTCAGGCTTGCAGAATCCTGCAAGACCCTGCAGGCTCCTGCAGGGTCCTGCACCCAAGCCCAGGTCAAAGCAACCCTCGCTCTGCAAGACCCTGAAACATCGGGCCCGAGTATACTTCCACCGCCTTCAGCCGGCATTCCGCCGCATTCCGCCGAAGAGGAGATTGGGGAAACCACAGGGTACCGATGCCGCTACTCCCTGGACCTCCCAGAGTGCGGTCCGTTCGGGGCGAATCCAGCGGTGGCGACGCGAGGGCCTCCCAGGAGGCTCAAAAAGAGGAAGACGAGGGAAGGGCAACCGTGTGTGTACCTCTTCCTCCTCTGAGAGATGCCAACTCCTTCGGCCCTCGAAGGCGAGGCCCTTTTTGGCGGCGCGCAATGGGGGGTAGGAGGAAGGGGGAAGGCTTCTTCGAAGGGGGCTGCCTCTTAGACGGCCTTGGCCTTACACCTACAGACAAGGGCCGCGCCTTCCAAGAAGCAGGGGTGCTTCTAGGAAGCTTCCCCGCCTCCCCCTACACCTCCCTGCGCGTGGCCGCCCTTTTTGGAACGCCCCACTTGTTCCGCAACATCGAATCTTAGGGAACGCCGCCCTCGGCGGGGCACGAGCTCCTCGAGGGCCGATCGGCGGAGCACGGCACGGCCCCACCACGAGGGCACGGGGGGGGGCGGCAGGGGGAGGGCAGAGGTGGGCGGGCGGCTCCCCTCTCCCTCCTCCTCCTCCTCCTTCTCCTCCTCCTCCTCCTCTTCCTCCTCCTCCTCCTCCTCTTCCTCCTCCTCCTCCTCCTCCTCCTCCTCCTCCTCTTCCTCCTCCTCCTCCTCCTCCTCCCTCCTCCTCCTCCTTCCTCCTCCTCCTCCTCCTCCTGCCCCCTCCTCCTCCTCCCCCTCCTCCCCCTCCTCCTCCTCCTCCTCCTCCTCCTCCTCCTCGTCCTCGTCCTCCTCCTCCTCCTCCTCCTCCTCCAGGGCGGGCGGGGAAAGACTGGGCGTACAGTCGTGGCATGGCCAAGAGGGGCACCACATAAGGAACGAAGGGGCTGTCCTGGCAGCGGGTACGGCGGGCCTCGTCCACAAATCGGTTCCCCGACCTAGATCTAAGGAGCGATCCTGAAGCCAGAGCACCTCCTGAACCCGAAGTGGTCGTTATTCGTACGTCATGCAGCCAGAATTGTGATCAGGAAGCTTCTCATTAAGAAACCTGGGCCAGCTTCCTCAGAGTTTCTTGAAACAAACCTGGGCCAATTTCTGTTGTTAGCGCTGGAGGGGCGAAGGAGCTCAAGACACTAGGCCAGCTTTCCGCCACGTTGGTTATGAAGCGCTGGGCCAGCTTTTCGGGAGGAGGTTTCTTAATCATATGCTCGATCGTAGCTCAAAGGAGAGCAATACACACATCCAGGGACGCCGATGGTCCATGCCTTCGGCGAGGCTTCTGGGCGAGTGCGTGTAACGCCCGCCCCTGGGCTTCGCCCCCATCGTCCCCTCCGACAGTTAAGCGGGCGCACAGGACAAGCGCGAAAAACACAGGCCTGCTGGATTCTTCAACGCACCACACTCACCCGATGAACTCACCGGTTAACAAAGACTCTCGGTAGCCCCAACTCGTCAACACCGGTGCGCACGACCCGTGCTGGGTGAGATGCATGAGTACGTGAGACCGGCAAGAAACAGAGCGGGCAGCGCGGTTGACAAAAACGACAAGGGAGGAGAAGTGGAAGGACTGGACAAGTGGCGAGGCAAGGCGGGATGGTCTGGGATCCGTCGCCTTCAGCCAGCCCGGTGGGAGGAGAGGCGGGCAGACAGCTGTGCCTGTGCCGCGGCACGGAGCGGCCAGACACTGCGGCACGTGAACAAACACACACACACACAAAAACACACACACACACACACAAGCGCGCATACTTCTTCCTTCACCAGCGATCTGTCACTACAGCCACGATAGAATATGCACGGGTAGCGGACACATGAGTTGCATACTGCCCAGGCAGTGAGGAGATCGAACTGCTTTGATAACGGCGCGCGCGAGGGGGAACCAAATCGACCAGCGAGCATGCAGAAACGACACTCAGGCCACGGAGGACACGCGCGCGACCGTGCACAGATTGCCGTCGACACGCACGCACACATTTTTTCCTCCTCCGCGACGTTGTGCCAACGGTCGGTGAGGCACTGGCGGGTCGCGCCTGCGCAAAAGAAAGAACACCAGGAAACAGGAACACTCACACACAACACACAGCACACACACAACCACACGCACGCACACTGCTGCAGGCACACGAAGATTATGTTGAGGCCACTTGCTGGATGCACGTGCGGAGGGCCGGCATGCTCAGCCATGTGCCAGCCACGCGCTGGAAAGACACGCGGCCACGTGGGTATCCAGCTCCCGCCCAGGCCGGCCACGTCACGTGCTCCCAGCTACCTGGTAGGACGCGGATCGGGAAACGGAAGAGGACGCTAAGGTAGAAGC